GACAGGTAAGCTTGGCTTCATGGGTTTACTTCATAGGCTGTCCTCACAGCCCTTCACGGGTGCTTTTTCTCCCCAGGGTTGTAACTGTCAGAAGCTTTGGGGTCTGTTGCTCCTTTCTGTTGGCTCTCCTGTGGTTTTCCTTCTGCCTGATCCACAGTTTCAGCAGGTCCCAGCTGGGCTGCCTCTCTCCTACACTCTTCCCCTCCTAATCCCAGCAGAGGCCTTTTCTGCTGCAGGCCAGGGCTGAAAGGAGCCTGTGACATCTCCCACACCTCCTCCTCCTCCTCCCTTAAGACATGTAATACTGACCCCTTCTTGATGTTGAGCCTCTCGTGTTGGCCACATCTTCTGCCTTGTGTTAAAATGGAGCCTTCATGGCTAGAACAGGGGGGTGAGGGAGCTCTGGCTAGAACAGGGGGGTGAGGGAGCTCTGCCCCTGAGCTCACCAGTGGTGGGGCTCCCTACTTCTGCCCCCAAACTGTTCCTCAGTTTCCCTCGAGTGTGTTGGAGGTGGGTTGTGCTTCAAAAAATGAGCAGGGTGAGTTTCACCCTCACCCTTTCTCGATGCCGTTGGACCAGAAGGGTAAGTCAGGCCTTCTGGAGCCTCCGGCCAGCACGTGTCCCTGGAGCAGAGCCCCAGCTTCCCTTTTGCCTTCCCGAGTCACTGGGCACAGGGAAAAGGTTAACAGCTCATGCTTGGCTCCTGGAGGGACCCTTGGGGTGAGGTTGCAGTGAAGCTGCTGTCTATTTTTGCCCGCTGCCTGCAGAAGGGCCGAGGGGCAGAGCTGTCCCCGTGCTCCCTGACTCATGGGGGACAGGGAGGGGACACTCTGTTTTCAGGCTGGCTTTGGAGAGCCTTGGGCCTTCTGCTGCATTTCCTCCAGCCAGGCAGGGGGTTTATTTTTGGCTGGAGTGCACGAGGTGCCTTCCTCCCAGCGAGCAGGGAGTCGTGCAGCACGTCAGCTCGGGATGGGTTGGCTCGCTCGGTTCCCTCTCTGCTGATGGCACACGGCTTAGCAGTTGGAAAAATTCCCTTCTCCAGCACCCAGGAGGGTGTTTTGAGTGAGGCATCTTGGTACTTTCGCCCACAGCCGAGCACCAGCAGCTCCCAGCATCCCTGCTGCCAGTTCCCTTCTTGTGTAGCTCTGCCCTGCATCCCTCCCTTCCTTCTCCTTCCTCCCCAGCCCTGCCGAGCTGTCCCTGTGCCAGGCAGGTGCAGGCTCCAGCCCTGCCACACAACCTCACAACACAGCTGAGTTTGGAGAAGGTGCTGGTGGAAGTGGCTCCCATTTCTGGTGGCACCAAGGGTGTCGATTGCCAACTAAGGGGGGGTGGCCCAGAGCCAAGGGGGGAGCACGATTCCCTTGCGTTGGATTGCTTCTAAAAATGACAGGGGAAGTTCTGCCCCCCAGAGAAGTGCCTGGATCAGCTCTGGGTGCCCACCTCAGCACCTGGGAGGTTTGCTTTTCACCTTCCCCCAGAAGCTCTTGTGCAACCAGCCGTGGGTGCCCCTTCCCCCCCTCTCACCCCTCTCTCCTCCCCCCGGCAGCGGGTGGATCGCGGCGCTGACCGACCTGCGGCAGAACCTGGCTGTGGCCATCATCATGATGGTGGTGGCAGGATTCTTCACCCTCTGTGCAGTCCTCTCCCTCTTCCTCCTGAAGCAGGTGAGTGGGACCCCGGGGACGAGGGCAGCTCTGGGCTGAACAGCAGCTCTGCAGGTCAGGCTTCTCCCGGGCTATCCCAGGGTTGCCGCCTCCTCTCATCAGTTTGCAGGGATTTGCTTGATTTTTTGAAGGTGGAATCAGGGCACTGGCAGGTCAAGAGCACCTCATCAAATATAGACATCACATTTCTTGCCCCTCCCTTTAGCTCCAGCCTGTCCTCTCCTCCCTGGCTGAGCAGACCAGACAACTGGTTGCTCTGTGTGGCTGTCCAGGGGGTTGAAGACACTGATGCCACCATCCCATGGGACTTTTCAAAGCCTGGTGGGATCCAAACCCAGTGCCTTCCCTCAGCCTCCCTTTGTCCTTCTGATCCACCACATGAGGGCTGCAGCTCCCTGCAGAAATCCAGCCTTGGGGAAGGCAAGGACAAGGCTGACCAGCTCCTCTTTCTGTTCCTTTCCTCCTAAATTCTATCTCGGAGGAAGCGCTTTTGGTTCCTAGCACCTTTGTGTCCACACCTGGGGGTGAAACATCCACACCACGCCCCACCCCAGGCTGGAGAAAGGACTTTTTGGTCCAACACCCACCACCTTGCCCAAAACTCCACCTTTTACCCCAAAGGAGGGTGTGCAGAGAGCTTGCAGCATCACACAGATGGACCTGCTGGCTCCAACCCATTGTCTCCGAGCTGCCAAGGCACCCAAGGGGGCTGAGGAGGAACGAGATGTGAGCACCAAACCCACAACTCCCTCCTGATTCCATTCCCCTCCCATCTCCTCTCCCACTTCCCAGGTGCATTCCCTGTACCGCCGCACAGGAGCCAGTTTCCAGAGGGCACAGGAAGAGTTTTCCCAAGGCATCCTCACCAGCAGGAGCTTCCAGACAGCAGCTGCTGGGGCAGCCTCCTCTGCAGCACAGAGTGCTTTCCGGGGAAACTAGCCCCTCCTGCCTTGCCTCCCGTTCCCACTCCCTCTCCCATCATCACCCCAACCTCCTTATTTGGGTGTTTATTTTTCTCCCCTCAAGATGCACTTTCTGGGGGTGCCCTGGTAGCTCTGTGATGCCCACTCCAGATGAAGAAGAGGTCTGGGATGATTTTTTTTTTATTTGGAAGCTTCAGCTGCCCGACGTTGATGCCCATTAGTTTTCCCCTGTCTTGTTTTAGGGGGCGGGGGGGGGATAGGGGAGACATTCTCTGAAGCAAATATATTATTTCTCTCTCCAGGATGTCCCAAGTGTTTGTCTCTCTCCCTCTCCTTGCCCTGCCCAGAGCAGGAAGGTGAGAGGAAGCAGCTTTTGGATTTTATTCTCTCTCTTCTTTTGGCCTTTGCTATGAAGAATTTGATTATTTACTGGGGTTTTTTTTTTGTTTGTTTTTGTTTTGTTACGGTTTTTTTTGGGGGGGTTGTATCTTGCATGTACTTTATGTCATTAATTTAAGAGGGGAAACTGGTTCCTTATGCTTAGGCATTGCTGGGTTTTGACCCCTGAACTGCTCCAGCTTCCCAAGAGTCAGGGTAACGTGGCACCTTTGGGAGCACGAAGGGGTTAGAGAAGAGGGGAGGGGAGGAAAAAGCTCTTTCTTCTTGTCCCCCTGCCATGGCAGAGCCTCCTGGAAAGCTTCACTGTGGCTTCCAACTGGGGCAGGATCTGTCGGAGCTCCTCCCTTTGGTGCTGCGTGTCCCCTGGGAGGTGGGTGAGGAGCAGGGGTTGATGTGCTCGGGGCAGTGTCCTGGCCCCTGCTCCTCCAGCGTCCCTGCTGCAGGGAGGGCTTTTTAACTGCAGCCCTGTCCCTTTCTGGCCCCGGGTGTGGGGGGGGTGTGTGCTGTGCCCCCCACCTTTGCTGGCAGCGTGGGTGCTGGGGTGGGAGGGGGGTGTGTGGGGCTGCCTGCCCCCCTGGCACACAAACAGTTCCACAGCCCCTCCCAACCTTCCCCCGCCTCTTCTCCGGTGTAATTTGTTTTGCCTTTCCA